AAGCATCCTAGGACACATTCTAGAATTCTAAAAATACATGATAACAGACTAGGCTTATTTACAATTGGATTGAACAAATGATTGAAGGCAGGAGTTGGACTCCATGATCCTTGTGCATCTCTTGCAACTCAGGATATTCTATGACAGCGTGACATGGCTAAAAAGCCCTTGATCAGTGACCTTCCATTCACAGCAGTAAAAACTTGGGCAAACACCATTTTAAAATGTTGTGTTTTAGCTTGGTGTTCAGGCCTTCTCCACATTGTTTTTGTTTTCCAGATACTAAAATGGACCGCAAAGACAAGTTGTTTGTAATTAATGAGGTAATTCTGCTTTTAATTTTTATTTTTTGTGTGCAAGAGGTATCCAAGCTCCAAAGACTTCTTACTAGTTATAGAGTTGTGTAATTTCATAAATGAAAATTGATACTGAAAAAGTGCTAATGCCAAAGGAAAGTTGTTTTTTGATTAAGAAACATTAGGAAGTAATATGGAAAGTTTCTGAAAATGTCTTCATGACTGTATAAATAGCTCTTTGATATATTTTGTGTAGGTATGTGAAATGAAAAACTGTAATAAGTGCATCTTTTTTGAAGCTAAAAAGAAACAAGATCTTTATATGTGGTAAGTAAATACTGCATTTTGTTTGTTAATTGCATTTGTATATATCACTGGCAATGCTTCTACCTAAAGTTTGTTACTGCAGTAGTGAGGCTACTTGAAATAGTGCTTAGTTAAGTCCTAAAGAATACTGCACTTCTGTTGTAGGTAGTGTGAGTTTACAACATGCTGTTGTTTCCACAGGCTACAGAAACGTTTTACAAAATTGTTCTGAAAGCAAGTAAGCCTGAGCATCCTAAAGGAACACAGTACTGCTGTAAAAGCGACTGAAATTGCTTCCATTCAGAAATAATTTGTTGGAGTGTACTGTAGATATCCAACACAAGTTTATGGCTGCTCTTAAGATTTTTATTTTCTTCTGTCTCTGTTCTGCAGGCTTTCAAATACTCCACAGGGACCATCAGCTAAATTCTTAGTGCAGAACAGTAAGTTGTTTGATATTACTGTGTTTAGACTCTTACTGTCTTATCTGTACAGCTTTATCTAAGTAATAAAATGATCTTTCTTAAAAAAAAAAAACAACCACTAGTTCATACACTGGCAGAATTGAAGATGACAGGAAACTGCTTAAGAGGCTCACGGCCCCTTCTGTCCTTTGATCCAGTAAGTATAGATCTTACATTTAATGTGTTACATGTCTATTTTCTTTATATTACTCATGCATTTAACTTTGTATCTAAATTTTTTTTTTCTGTTGTAGACTTTTGACAAGGAGCCACACTATGCCTTGCTGAAGGAATTGTTTATTCAGGTCAGTTATTTCAGCTTGGAAATTCTTTCGTAAGTTACTTTAATTTCTCTTTTTGTACCTCACCATACAAATTGTACACTGAGAGTCTGCAGAAAATACTTGAAGAATTAGGGTTGTTCTTAAAGTCACTGGGACTCTTGTTCTTAAGTATGCAACCTGGAATCAGAGTCTTAATAACTTAAATTAATGCTTGTACCCTTAGGACTACAGATATTGAGAAGTGCTGCCTTTTATTTCAGATATTCAGTACGCCACAGTATCATCCCAAAAGCCAACCCTTTGTAGATCATGTTTTCACATTCACCATCACAGACAAGAGGATATGGTTTCGAAATTACCAGGTTAGTTCAGCTCTTCCAGTGGTGCTCAGCAGAGTAACTATATCAAATCCAGTAATTACAATAAAATAAGAAAAGTAATTGTTTTCAGAAGCTGCCTTTTCCTGTATCTTTGGAGATAATTTGTTTCAGTTCTGTCGAGCTCTGGCTGCTCTCTGTTAGCTGTGATTCTGTAATGGGTCTCTTCATAAGAGAAATTCGTAGTGAAAGCATAAGCTTCACTTTTAACTTCACTCAGTGCTTTATCCCAAAGTATGCTAGTATACCAAAGTATGCCTGCTTTCTAACTGAGGAATTTAAAAATGTGTAGTATTCCTAAATGCTTGCTTGAATCTAACAGAACTCCTCTGTATAAAGATTTGTGTTTGAAAAAGTGCAGCTTACAAATTTTTGTGGCATTGTATCTTGGACTTAAGTTGTTTTATGTTATATTGTAATATAAAGTGCCTATGAGGTTATACACATTGATTCAATCCATTTGAAATAGAGTATTCTTTTACTGCAGATAATAGAAGAGGATGCATCTCTAGTAGAAATTGGGCCTCGTTTTGTTCTGAATCTCATAAAAATCTTCCAGGGTAGCTTTGGAGGACCAACTTTGTATGAGAATCCCTATTATCAGTCCCCAAATATGGTAAGCAGCCTTGTCTTCTCTTCGGCAGTTACTTTGAAGACTGCAAGCTGTATGTGCAAGAGAATCACAAATGCCTTCTCCTGAATCTCTTTGTAATGCCTTAACTGCTTGAGAACAAAATAATTGTGTGAAAATGGAATGAATGCAAAATTCCTGTCAGTGGAAAAGTAACAGTACGTTGTGGATTTTGACAATTAAGCAGAGAAATGTAGCCTGTTATTATAACATCTGATTTCTTGCATTTTGCTTATTTTAAACATTCTATTTTAAATCCTTATTTTTGTAGCATCGACGGTTGATAAGACTGTCAATGGCTGCTAAGTTTAGAGAGAAACATCAAGTGAAAGAAGTACAAAAGATTAAGAAAAAGGAGAGTAAAATGCTTATGGAAGAGGATCCCACTGAAGTGGTCTTTGAAACTCCAGCTGAAGAAAAGCCAGTGGAAATACAGCTTGTGAAACCAGAGTCAAAGGCAATTGTAAAAGATAAAAGGAAACCGCGCAAAATTCAGAGGAAGAAACAAAAAAAGCTTTTCAGAACTGAAGCATAAGCCTAAAAGTTACAGGTGGAAATGCCAAAGTCATCTTTTAGTCTTCTGCAGCTATGTTAAATATATATATTTCTTAGCTGTATTGACAGAATATTGTGAATGTTTTCTGCAGGTAAAATTAACTGGATTTCAATTCTGAGTAAACAAAGATAAATTTCCTTATTAAGTTTGTACTTTGTCTTTTTTTTTTGAGAGGATTTTGGGTTTTAAAAAACTTGAAAATGAGAGATGGAAAATAAGGAATTCCAAATATTCCTGCTTTTGCCTTACACTCAGATACCTGTAGGAAATAACTTGCTGTAATACGCACAAGAAATACAGGTTTTTCACAAGTGTTCTTATCATTACAGGGAATTCAAGTCACCTATGCTAGACTTTGAAGCAGCAGGTAATCCTTTGAGAAGTTTTAACTTCACATGAATTTTCTTGTTGGGAATGATGGGTAATTTTTCTCTCGCAGTCCCTAGAAAATGCAAAGAGAAATGGTTTCTTAATTGTTCTTTTCTTTTTAATTAATAGTAGAAAACTTGCCACTTTGCCTATGATAGCTTCTGTATCTAATCAGCTACATAGGACCTGAAATACTTCCACTGGGGTGAAGAGGTAACGTAGCATTCTGTTCTTTTATAACTAATTAGAGGTTCCCTAAAAGTACAAGGTAAACGCTACCTCTGAGTACAAAAACCATGTGCCTGAAACAGAACTGCCTGTAACTCTTCTATATGGGAGCTGTGATTTTAGGCACCAGTTGTGCTTAACAGAATTCTGCAGTTTTATACAGTTGCTCATGCAGACAACTTCTATTCTCATACAGAGGCTGTCCTCTTGGTTCAGTTACATATGTTTCTCAGAGTAGAGTGATGCCATGTAGGTTTTTTCCATTTTCATGTTTAAAATTTGCTTTCAGTAGAGCTCAGTGTCGTTAGAACTAAAAGCCTTGATTCTGCTGCATCTTAAAATTCAATGCTTCTGTAGCCTGCTGCACACTCATGAGCAACTGGAAGTTCAAAGGTTGGTTTCCTGTTGGTTGACATTTCCTCAAAGCTTCAGTGTGGTTGCCTCAATTTGGGCTTTATTTTCATAAAGCTTTTAGGACACTGTCAGTGAGCCTGCCCTTTTGCTGGATCTAAAATGAGTCAGTATGTTTGTAAGTTATTATTTGGGGAAATGAGGATGTAACTTGTCTTTCAACCAAGGTAGAAGGTTGAAACAGCCATATAAGTTCCAACCGTAAATCCTGATTCATTTTAGTAGATAGTCGCAGGTCTCTATGATTATCTTCACCGTTTTCTGCTTTTCTGTTCTGTGACTTGTTTTTTGTTTGAAAACTTATGTACCCCTTCACAATCTTCCCCAGCTTCTGTGTGTTGGAACTGTTTTGCCTGTGCTCTATTATTATTTGGTACCTCTGTGTGGGCTTTTTGTTTTTGTTTTCTTCCCAGCCTCTGTTCCAAGAGGAAGATGGTCTTTTAAGCATTAGGGTTTGTTCTCCACAGCAGGTCAAGGGAGATTCAGCATTACCTTTAAAACATAGGAATCGAAGTCTAGTTACACAGGCACCAGCTCAGTTGGCACAGTGTAGCTAATCTAAAGAAAAAAGTCTTGGGCCAAACCCAAAATCTTTGAAGAGCACGAATGTGTCATAACCCGTCTCTTTCCCTGGAAAAACAGTCCACGCTGACAGCTTGACAGGAATGATCTCGAATGTGAAAAAGAGCAGGAGCTAACTGTGCACCAGGAGTGCATCTGCGAGGAGTCCAGAAGTGTGGGTGGGTCACACAATGCGAGGTTCACAGGATCACACGATATCCCGAGCTGGAAAGATCTGAGCCTAACCTGAGCTCAGCACTGCCGCTCATAATCCTGTGAGGAGCTGCGGCCGCCATCAGCTCCCCTCAGCTCCTCTGCTCTGGGCCCAGCGCCCTCAGCCACCCCTAACGCTCGTTGCCCTGCAGAGCCTCACCGCGCTTACAAGGCTTCCTTGGATTCTCTCCACCCGGCCTGTATCACAACACCGCGGCGCCATTCCAGCGCCACCCGCAGCCCCGCTCGCAGCCCCGCCCGGCCCCAGCCGCCTAGCCCCGCCCCCGCCGCCGCGGCTCCTCCCGGTCCGCGCTCCGTACGGCCTCGCGGCCGGCTCCCCGTGTTCCCACCCGCTGCTCCGCTCTCGCTGCCGGCCGGCTCTCCTCCCCGCCGCCATGAGGTGCCACTACGAGGTGCTGGGCGTGCGGCGCGACGCGGCCGAGGAGGAGCTGAAGCGGGCCTACCGGCGGCTAGCGCTGCGCTGGCACCCGGGTACGGTGCTCCGCGGGCCCGGCCTGCTGCGGACCTGAAGGGGAGGCCGGGCCGCGTGGGGAATGGAGAAGCTCGCGGGGGGATCGGGGCTCGTGTGAAGGCCCGCCCGGTCTGGGAGCAGTGGGCCGTGGCGGCGGTGCCTTTCCTGTTTGTGTGAAGGGTGCCGCTGTCGTGCTTTGAGTTGTTGACGATTAATTCATTTAATTCGCAGATAAAAACCTTGAGAACGCTGAGGAAGCTGCTGAACAGTTCAAGTTAATCCAGGCAGCGTACGATGTGCTCAGTGACCCTCAGGAGAGAGCCTGGTGAGTAAATACAGCCAGTGGGCTTGAAGATACTTTTGTGTGCCTGTATTGCTTCTTGTATTTTGTTTGTTTTCTGTTGTCGTTTGGCTTTTTTCCCTTCCCTTGCTCTCACAGCGAGGACTTGGAGTTCTCTACTCCCTGGCTTGGAGGTCTGGGCTGTAGATTGGCCCTAGCAGTGCTTTGCCCTGCGTTAAGGATGGTTCCTTTCATGGAATCATTTGAGTTGGAAGACACCCCTGAAGGTGACCTAGTTCGATGCAGGGGAGCATCGAACAAGATTACAGCTAAATATGTTGCACAGAGCCTGGTCCAGCTGACCTTGAATGTCTCCAGGGATGGGGTATCTCGCTGCTTTCTGCAGGGTGGTGTGGGATGAGCGCTGAGGAGTTGCTGGTGCTGGCATTGCTTTCTGCCTCACAGGTGAGAGGTGTTGGTATCCACCTGCTCATCTGTGTATCACCACAGCCTCCTTTGCCTGTGTTCCTGTAGTGGTCCTAGTTAGAAATATGCACAAACATCTCTTTGTAAGAGACTGTGAGTTTAAATGTTCTGCATAACTTGTTTTTCAAGTGGGCTGAAGCATCCAGCTTATGAAGCCAAGAGCACCTCCACTAAATTTGTCCTTCTATAAAGGAAAGTAGTTTTTCACTTCTAATATGATAGTTAGTGCTTGTTTTTCCTTTTTTTTTTCTTTTTCTTTTCTTCCATTTTCATTAGTATTGGGTATTTTGGATAACATTCTACCTGCTTATGAAAGCTCATTGTAGCAGCTTGCTTAAATGTGTTTTGGGAAGTTGCTGTTACAGATATGATAGTAAGTAAAATGGAGGTCTGGAGGTAGTGTTTATTGACTCAGCCCTTTTTCTGTCTGAAGACTTGAGTATGAAATGCAGATTCCAGAAAGTGAGGTGCATTGAGGCTTAGCCCAGCAGCAGCACCATGCAGCCCTTCACTCACTCCCCCTACTGGGATAGGGGAGAGAATTGGGAAACCAAAGATAAAAACTGTGGGTTGAGGTAAAGACAGCTTAATAACTTAGAAAAGGAAGGAATAAAAAGATGATAGAAGAATATACAGAACCAGTGATGCTCTACCAACTGCCAACCTCTAGCTGACTAATGCCCAGTCAGTCCCCTAGTAAGGCAGCCTCTGGACCAAACCCACATCCTGTTTGGTTGTTCAGCATGAACGTGATGTGGTATGGAATGTTCCTTTGGCTGTTTGGGTCAGCTGTCCTCGTTCTGTCCTTCCTAAGTTCTTTGTGCATCCCTAGCCCCTCACAGGCAGGGCGGTTTGAGGATCTGAAATATCCTTGGTTCTGTACAGCACTGCTCAGCAACAGCTAAAGCACTGTAGTGTTACTGACATTGTTTTTCTCCCAAAGCCAAAGCACAGCATCGTAGCAGATACTATGAAGAAAATCAGCTCTATCCCTGCTGAAACCCTGAACAGCTATACTTTGAATAGAATAGTTCAGTTGAAAGAGACCTTCACAGATCACCAGGTCCAAGTGCCTGATCACCAGGCTAACTAAAAGTTAAAGCATGTTACTGAGGGCATTACCCATGCACCTCCTGAACTCTGATGGGCATGGGGCATCAACTGTCTCACCAGCAAGTCTGTTTGAGAGCTTGACCATGCTCACAGGAGAGAAACTTTTTCTAGTGGCCTGCCTGACACTTCCTCAGCTGCAGCCTTATTTGTGATGGCGGTGTGATATTCCCAGTTTATTTCTGGAAAATTGAAGTTTCCCAGAAGGGTGAGGTTTACTGATGCAGACATTTCTAATTGCCCATAGAACAATACATCCTTGCCATCATCCTGGATGTCATGATGCAATAGTAGGCACTCACAACTATATCTGCTTTGCTGCCTGTCCCCTTAATCCTCGCCCAGAGGCTCTTTATCATTCCATCTCTAATAGCTATGACTGCACATGGAATAGTTTCTCCCTTACATACAGCCCAGCACCTCTATCTTGCTAACCCTGCCTGTTGCTTCTAAACTGCTGATGACCCTCCTTCCCAGCACAGCAAATGTGGAGTGAAGTGGTACACGTGCTTTTACACATTACTTGTGTTTTATTGTTATTGGAGAGTATTCATTTTCTTTACATTATTGGTTTTTGCCAGGTATGATAACCACAGGGAAGCTCTACTGAGGGGAGTGAATGGGGACTATCAAGATGATAGTTTGGATCTGCTGCGCTATTTCACTGTTAGTTGTTACTCTGGATATGGAGATGATGAAAAGGTAGGGAACTAATTCATCTTTTTAAGAAATCAATTCAAATTTTTTGAAAAATGTTGTGGTTTAGCTCAGCAGGTGACTGGGCAGCACACAGTTGTTTGCTCACATCCCTCTTCCCAGTGGGATGGGGGGGAGAATAATAAAAAAGCAAAGTAGAACTTGTGACTTGGGATAAAACTACCTACTAATTAAAAAAAGGAAAATAGTTGTGACTGGGTGGATAGGCAGATGTATATAATATCTATAAGGTGACGCACAAGCAGTAGCTTACCATCCCCCAGCCAATTCCCAGCTAGCCCTCCAAGCAGTGGAATTAGTGAGATGAACTGCCACCTCCTTCAAAACACCTTCCACTTGTGCCATATCATATGGAATATCACTTTGGCCAGTTTAAGTCAGCTGTCCTAATTCTGTGCCTTCCCAGCTTCGTGGGCCCTTTCCTGCTACAGGCCTTGGCTTTGTACAACACTGCTTAGCAGGAACTGTAAACACTGTGTTGTTAGCATTGTTCTAGAACCAAACAGCATCATACCAGACACTCTGAAGAATACAATTCCATCCCAGCTGAAACTATGACAAATGCCAGCATTTGCTTAGCATTGGGAAGCTGTGCATGGTATTGTTGAGCACAGGTGATAGTAACAGTTTTTCGCACAAATACAAATCCTGTGCTTGATGCCTGGACAAGCTTTAATTACTTTTTTTTGTCTGATAATTACTTACTTGTAGCTCCTTACTGAACTGTGCAACTCCAAAATATGTCTGTATTATTTATGTCCATTAAGTAGCGAAGCATTCCAGTGCTTTGCAATAGCGAATATTTGGAAATGTCTTTCACAAGCTGGAGTGCTTTAAGCTGAGGAAAAATGATAGTGGTGCTTGAGGGAAGTGAGCTTCCAAAAATTTAATTTTGTGTTGTATTTTAAGATACTCATGATTTAAAAAGCTCCAGGCGATTAGGAGGACTTCTGCCAGAGAAAATCCCCATTCGTCCGTGTATTATTATGGTAGGAGTAAGTCAGCATCATCTTAACTTAAAAAGTAAAGATGTAGTTGGAGTATGTCATAGTAAATTTTGTATTTGGAACTTCCTCAAGGCGTCGTAATGTGTAATCAGACTCTAGTCAACACTGTCTGCATGCTGTGAGTTTATTTTTTTACTTAGATTTGAGTATGGATTATTTAAGGTGTGAGAAAGACTAGCGAGTTCTTACAAGACCTTTCCCTCATTTTGAATTGCTTTGCAGAGCTGCAGTTTTTTTCTGAATGTTCTGTAAAGAAACACTACTTACTGTAACTGAGCATTTGTACATTTATTATTGAACAAATAATGATTTACTTCTTTTAAAATTTCAGGGATTCTTTACAGTCTACCGACATGTTTTTGAGCAAATTGCAAAAGAGGAGATGGAATATATGACTCACGAAGATACTGAAGAATTCCCTACATTTGGGTATTCCCACAGTGATTATGACACGGTGAGAGCAAGTATAATGTTGAACTAAAAGTAGCATGGCTATCATTACTTTGTCTCACACTGAAAGCACAGAAGAAGTTCTTGGGTGACTTCTGAGGCAAATACAAAACCACATTTCTACTGTCTTTCTACTGTAGTAACAGTAGCATACAGGTGGAGCCTGCATTGTGATTCATAACATTTAGATGAATCAGAATCATTGTTTCCTGTTAGACTATATTAGAAGTCAGATTTTTATTGGTAAGCTGTCAAGCAAAATTTTGAAGGGCTAATCATCAGTTATGCCAGTGAAACTTAAGTGCAGTGTGCCTGATGCAAGGCCTGAAAAAAAACACAGAGCAACAAGCATTCTCAACAAGATGTAAACAGAATAGTTCACCAGTGTTTTAATGCAACATAGGTCACAGCAAAGGATATTAGAAATTATTTTTTTAAATAACACATATAGTATTGTGCTTCATTTAGGGAAACAAAGACTCACTACATAAATGCCTGTTGAAAAGGAGAGACATTGTAGTTGACCTGCCATGTGAGCTCCTGCTACGGCACTCCTGTCATCTACAGTTATTCTGTAGTAAGATTTAATTTTCAGAATAATGCATGTCTGCTTTTGGGATACAGGAAAAGACAAATGCTTAGAGGACACATAAATTCTGCCCATCTAGTTTGCCAATTATTTTTTATAATAGCTATTTTCCTGGTTATTAACTACACAGTTGCAAGACTTATAAGTATTCTGCCTAGCTTCCTGCTTCTCCCTTCATTTTTAGTAGTAGTATACTGTGTAACTGATTATTTATGAAATTTGAATTGATATATACTTCACAAATGAGAAATTTTGATGGTATGAACCTTAGTTGGAGTTAGAAACAGTTAGTTTGACACTAAAGATGCCCAAATGGGTATTTTAATTTCAGGTAAAATTACACAATGGCTTAAAAAATCAGTATCTTTCCCAGGAAGCATATATTTAATGTCTACAATTGCTAAGATCCATCTGTTCACAGCTTGAGCTTGGAACATCTTTTGGGAGCTTCCCATGTCAAGACTGTAGAATAGATATGGCTATAAACCAGAAACTACTTTTGACAATTAGTAGCTGCAAAATCAGCTGTAATTCTGGCACCATTATCATTAGACATCTGCCTTGTTCATGCAGTTGTGGAAGCAGAATACTCCTTTTTTATTTTTATTTTTTTTTTATTTATGGGATTAAGTGATTCTTTGAATTGTATCATGGAAAATAGCTTCATTTAACCAGGAAAGCCATTATCTCTCTTACCTTATATTCAAAGATATGGACGGAAGATAGCAGCGTTGTAGTTCACCCACTTCCCTGTTTAGTAAAGGTACTGTGGGAGAAGGAAAAAGAGATTTAGAAAGGAACTACAGAAGCTAGATCAAGACTTCAGGGTCTGTGACATGAATGTTCTCTGATCCAGCCTTCTGAGTTAACTTGCAGGAGATTTGGGAAGTGACTCAATCAGTGCCAAGCAGACAGGGAATATGTTCTTAAGTCCATGACTTAACAAGGCTTCACAAGACTAGTTGTAGAGCAATTCTATGTAGAAAAACAGTCAGCTGTGAGTATGTGTAGTAAGCAACGACCTGAGTGTCCGACGTGAGGTGCTTTACAGTGTCCAGGAGACTGGCAGGACAGAAGCTTATATTCAGGTGGCCACATCTCATAGCTCATAAAGCTGATGACGGGATCGATAGTTCACTCCTGTCATCAGCTGATGGCTCTGCATCCTGTTTACTCACTTTCTCTCATTTTGAAGCATAAATCTGAATAGTGTATCACTGCTTACATTGTTGGGCATATAAGGCTGGGTTCTAGTGACAGCAGAGAAGAACTGCATAGCTACTTATCTGCTAGAGGCCACAGCCTTGAGCCTTCACACATAGATGGGTCATTAGAAATTAGTGTTGAGGAGTTAATAGTTGTATCTCTGTAAGGAGAAGAAGAAATATTAATAGGAGACCTGTTAAGCTGTTATGTTGAAGTCCAGAACTTTTTCTGTGAAGTATCCAGAAATACAAAAACAGCAGTGCATGCAGAGATGTAAAGGAGTGTGTGCAGGATGTAGTAAAAAGAAAGTTTAATAAGATGAGTAATTAAAAAAAAAAAAAGTTTCCCAAGTATGCAAAAAATGCAGAAGGTTAGGAGTTATTTGGAGAGGAACAAAATAATACAAAAGAAAATGATATGAACTAGAGTGGCTGGCACACCAGAAGTCTGCTGCCATTCAGCAGAACCTGGATGGAATACAGAGATGTATGGAGGGGATCCTGGTGAGGTTCAGCAAGAGTAAGTATAGAGTCTTGCACCTGGTGAGGAATAATTGTGTATGCTAGTACAGGTTAGGGACTGGAAAAGAGTTTGGTGGAGAAAGACCTGGGTGTCCTGGTGGACAGCAGGTTGGCCATGAGCCAGCAGTGAGCTCTTGTGGCCCAGTAGGCTAATGGCCTCCTCAGGTGCATTGGAAAGAGCATGGACAGCAGATCAAGAGACATGATGCTACCACTCTGCTCTGCTCTGGTGTCAAGGAGTTGACTAGGTCAATCTATGCCTGTGACAGGGGGGCAGTAGGCCCCTGCCCTTCCCTCCGCACCCCAGCCCCACAACATGGGAAGGAAAGAAGGGAGGAAAAGAACAGCAGCAACAATCTATGGAGGGAAAACTTATTTTACTATGATACCAGAATGCAAGATAATATAATACAATTTAATTGAAATTGAGACTAATAAATCAGACAAGATGGGAGAGAGAGTTCCCGGGACCGAGTCAAACCCGAAAAGCTTGGAACGGCCAGGAAAGCACCTCCAGCACCCACTGCAAGGCAGCAAGAGAGCGCCCCCCCACCCGGAAGGGCCAGATCCCGTGACTGCTGTAATGTACAGGGATAGGTAGCTGGGATTGGGGCAGTGACACTTTAATACCCCGTACATTACATGATGTTTTGATTGGAATACTGAAACCCGAAAAAACAAAACACATAAAGCCATGACATCTGGTGAGGCCACATTTGGGGAACTGTGTCCACTTGGGGGCTCCCCTGTTCTAGAAAGACAGGGAAACTCTGGAGAGAGACCAGCAGAGAACCAGAAAGATGATTAAGGGCCTTATCTCCCTTCTGAGGAAAGGCTGAGAGACCTGGGGCTTTCAGCCTGGAGAAGAGAAAGCTGTGAAGGGATCTTATCAACACTTAGAAATATCTGAAGGTTGGATGTCAAGTGGATGAAGCCAGGCTCTTTTTGGAGGTGGCTAGCGACAGGACTGGAGGCAGCAGACAAGAACTGCAACACAGGAAGTTCCATCTGAAAATAAGAAAAAAATTATGGAGTTTGAGAGTGACAGAGCACTGGAGCAGGCTGCACAGAGAGGTTCTCTGTAGATATTAAAGGCCCACGTGGATGCTTTCCTATGCAACTCTAGGGAACCTGCTTTAACGCCGGTTGGTCTAGATGATCTGCAGTTGTCACTTTCAACCCCTGTGATTCTGTGAAAAGAAAGTCATTATGTCACTTCACTTTATCTGGTGTTTACTCATGAGTAGTATATAGAATAAGGAAAGATGATTTACTGCTTCTTCTAATGTGAAAGGTAGAGGGTATCATTTTTATCTGCAGTTATGTAGTACAACAAAACAGGAGTAAGTGCATCTTCACACAAATGCTCATTAAACTGAAAGTCACAGCTTCGTGATATTGTATATGATACATTAAAAAAAAGCATTAATGAAGGAGAAATTGACTGGAGTTATTAAATGTTCTCACTTTTCTCTGGAAGCGGATAGAATATGATGGGAAGAAACACTGTCATGTGTTTGCTTTTTTGTTTTTTTGGTTGGTTTTTGTGTACTGGTTGTTGGTTGCTGTTGGAAATGTATGGAGATATTCATTGTAATTTGATGGGGTGGCTGTTCACAGTATGTGCTTATTTACACAATGTCTCATTCCAATTGTGCTTTGAAAGGAAAAGTACAGCAAGGTTAAGTATCTGGCACTGTTGTTAGCACAATCCAATCCTGTATGGGGATATGTTTTTAGAAATAGGCATTTGGAAGGCTGTTGATTTGAGAAGGTGTGAAATTTTAAAGATGGTGTTAGAGACTTCTGTAAACCTTGTGGAGATTTACTTATACTCTGGGTAAAAATCTTTGCCTATAAGGAAGACACAGAAGTCCTGAGTTATTTGGTGAGTGTTTTTTCCATGTTCCCCCTAATAAAGTGACTCATTGAATTTTTGATTTTTTTATTTTAACAGATAGTCCACCCTTTCTATGCCTATTGGCAGAGTTTCTGTACTCAGAAAAACTTTGCTTGGAAAGAAGAATATGACACACGACAAGCATCGAACCGCTGGGAGAAACGAGCCATGGAAAAAGAGAACAAGAAAACCAGAGATAAGGCAAAAAGAGAGAGGAATGAACTAGTCCGTCAGCTAGTAGCCTTTATTCGTAAAAGAGACAGAAGAGTACAAGCTCACAGAAAACTTGTAGAAGAACAGAATGCAGAAAAGCTTAGGAAAGCAGAGGAAATTCGGAGGCAGCAAAAACTCAAACAAGCCAAGTATGTAAATATGGAAGGAAATGGTTATCTTAAACCTGGAGAAACTATCAATGTCTACCATGATATGATTATACTGGTAGCTGTACATGCTCTTTTAACAATTCTTGACCATTTTCTACATTAGTTTTGGTTTCAAGTCAAACCTTTTTATTTGTTCTTAAATGAAAAGAAAGATCCCAGAAAATCAGGGAATAACCTGTGCACTGCATTACTGGCTGTAATAGCACAGAAGCCAGCGTGTGAGGGAAGATCTAAGGAAAAAAGAATGTATGTTGGGGAGTGAAGCAGAACAGGACTATGATAACCTGGACTTTTACCAACTTCATTTGCCTTGGAACTTTATCTGCTAAAAAGAATGTATGAAAAACAAATGCAGTCTTGCTTTTCCTTTTAATTTGGTGGAGGGGGCCCTTTTAGTGGACTGAATGCACTTTTTAGTGCTTTTGCTTTTCATGAAATGTAAAGTAGATGATGGGAGCCTGCCAGTCTGAGCAGAAGTTCTTCAAATTAGAAGTAATTTTCATCTGAAATAAGAGGAAATACTCAATTAACAAATACAATTAAGCTTAAATACTTAATTGTCTTGAAATTGCACTCTTGTAGCATTAAAATCATAATTAAAATTGTAAATAAATAATTAAAAATAAATTTAATAATAATAAGTATTATTTAATAATTAAATAAAAATTAATTAAATTCATCAAAATCGTAATAATTTGCATACATGTGAAATACATGTATTAGACATAATGCTTGGGGTTGGTTGGTTTGTTTGTTTCCTGGGAGAAGAATGAAGCTTGAGGCATGTGTTCACTGACAAACTGGTTAATAATTCTGTACTCAGGACCCAGCTGTAGAAAATTCACCTGTACTGTGGTGCACTGACGGGTAGCTTGGATCCCACTTGTTATTAGGAAAACTGGGTACACCTCTGTAACACAAAGCCAAGCAGTAATTTGCTAGTTATTTTTGCATTGCTGCACTGTTCATTGGTTTGGATCTTACAGCAGGTAAAAGCAGTTAAAGTACCTTTAAGGTTGAGCTGACCTTCTCTATTGTGAGCTTGACATTTACCATGTGCTCGTACATTTCCTGCATGAAATTCAAGCAGGATCCGCTTACGTTAATATCTCCTTACTAGCAGTGTCAGTGTGACCACTGGCGCCGTAAATTACCTGCTCAGATTTCCATGCCCTACAAACAGTTCTTTGCTCCATCACAATAAATTCAGAAATTTCCACCTGAAGTACCAGAGAAGAAGCTATCTTTTAAATAATACTGCTTCTGTAATTCCAATCTAATAAATGCCACGTAGAAATTACTGTATTTTTCTACTTAAAGGCTTGCTGAACAGTATAAAGAGCAGAGTTGGATAACTATGTCAGATCTGGAGAAAGAATTGAAAGAGATGGAGGCACAGTATGAGAAGGAATTCGGAGATGGATCAGATGCTGAAGTTGAATTGGAAGGACAGGAGACAAAAGAAGGCGTTGAAGGTATGCGGCGTGGGGGTGTGAGCTATATGAATTGTTCAGTGTGAGTACTGGCTCACTGCACTTGGAACCCCAGGTGCATGTGGTGAACGTCCCCTGTCTCCAATGCTGGTGTGCCAGGTTAGAAGCTGGGTGTCTGATGTTTTCCATCAAATGTGAGAAGATGTAAAGCCGTTAGTTAGTTAAGGCGTTAATTATCGTGATCTCTCTGCATGTGAAAAATAGCGAAGGAGCTGAATGTCAATGTTGTAACTGTTTCCTGGGGCTTTTAATAGCAACTGACCTGAAGATTGCTCTTCTGACTTTGTCTCTTCGATCCCATTGATTTCTTCAGACAAACTGAATGATGTGGCTGAAGAAGCTGAATATGCTGATGATCTCTACTGCCCTGCTTGTGACAAAGTGTTAAAAACTGAGAAAGCGTAAGTGTGTATATAGCTGGAAACTTTTCAGCAGTGGTAGGGGAAGGCATTGCTTTGTTAAAGCAACTTTTTAACAAGCATTGTAAGAACTTTTTAGCTTTGCATAATAATGTCTTCTTTCCAGCTGAGACATTATCAGAGCAAAGTTTTCCATTCTTACTAGTGATAAATAATGGCCCTTTTGTTAATTTATATGTAACAGTATTTACTCAAATATACCTGCAGTAACTATTCAATAATCTTCATAGCATGAAGAATCATGAAAAATCAAAGAAGCATCGGGAGATGGTGGCACTGTTACGACAGCAACTGGAAGAAGAGGAAGAGAAATTTCCTGCGTCTTCAGATGATGTGAATGGAATGCATACCAAAGAGGAGGAAGAAACAGGAGAGGTGCCCAAACAGAAGTACTTAAAATTATTTATTATTTTAAATTTTATTATGAGTTATGATTTATTAAATCTCTGAGCTCAGAGGGAGCTTCTGACTGGATTAGTTGTTGTATTGGAACTCACAGTTTTGTGCCAATTTAAAACATTTCTTTGTATTGGAGTTCCAATAAAATGCATACATTAATTTGTCCAGATTCATATGTAGGGTATTTTTCAAACAGAGAAGCTTGGTGCAGTTCCAGTGTATACCAGTTTAGTTATGCTACTCTTTGTCAGTTGGATGCTGGCATAGGTAGAAAACGAGTGTGCTTGAAAATGAATGGAACTTAATAAGTTACGTTGTACAACTTCCATTCTTTGAATGGATCAAGCATAATATCAGCTGCCTTTTTAGTATCTTTAAGTTCAGTCTGAGCAGAATAAATGTTTTGTTAATGCAGTAAGTAGATGATGAGAAGTGTTGCTTTCATTTCAGATGAGAATTGTTTTCTAGTTGTGGCTGCTATCTCTCTCATGTTACAGTGTTAAGAAAAATATAATTTGATACCTTTCTAGAAATTGTATTAATGTTTTCTTTTTAAAAAAAGTCTATTTTACATTCTTACCTTTCCAGACTCTCCAAGAAGCAGAAGAAGAAACAGAAAACAATGATGGTAGGCAGTCAGACATAATGAATTTCAAAGAACTTTATTTACAACATATATTATCGTAATACATCTCACAGACCTGACTTGAGAAGCATCTGTACAAACAGAATAAATGTGGTGCATGTTCCAAAGAGCTTATGGGTTGAAATGTAAAGAAAGGAGATTGAATGGACAGAGAGAGAATGCAAGGAATTGATCAGCAAGACCAGCGGTGGCTCTGATGTATTTGTGACTTAACTGTTTGGTGATGGTCTTCTGCTTTGATTGATAGACCTGGAAGAATGTACTGTTTGTAAAGTAACTTTATTAGCATCCTACTGAAACTAACAAACACCATTCACTCCACCTCTCACTTGCATTCCAGGCACCAGTAATGCCAATCTGGCATGTTCCAGGATCCCATCTGTGCATGACAGAACAGATCTGTGCTGACAGGAGCAGGCTGGGATTCAAGAATTGCATGTCTGTGTCAGCCTTGAGTGTCAGGAACACCACACAGGGCAGACTGCTCCCTCTGCTTTTCTCATGCATGATCCTTTCCTACTTGTACTTCTTTCCTATTCAGTATCACTCAATCATAGTCATGAAACCACTGAGCTACATACGCTAGATCCTGCATCTTGCATGTTTTCCAGGATGGCCTCAGGGTTTTTCCCCAGCCTAACCCTTCCAGTGTTTTGTGTTCCCTTTCTCTGCCCTCTCCTCATCATCATCCCTTATCAAGAAACTTCTCCAAGGCTTTCAATCAGCTGAATTTTTCTTGCTTCTCTTTGTTGGTTTTGCATTGTCCAAGTTGTATTGGCTTGCCCTTCTTGTTTCCATGCAGGCCATCAACATCTTATGCAACTCTGGCTTCTTCACTTCCTTTTCAGTTTCCCTGAAATTCTTTTTCATCTACTTAATAAATGTTCTGTGTAGGCACCTTGTCTCCCATCCTTCAGTTATGTGAAGTTAGGTTTTTTGCAGCCTGGAATGTGGGCTGCACACTCACATAACTGACCTGGAATTTTGTTATGCAGAGGTCCTAGAAGGGTAACTTCTATCTGCTATCAGTCTTCACCGAGAGTTGAGAATTATTGTGATCTTTGGTTTTCTGCCTGGAGATAAAACTACCTGAGAAAACGTGGCTAAGCTATCTATGTCTGCAAGAGTTACTGTAGGAGATGTAGTTATATTAACACAGTGTTACGTTTATTCTACTTTTGGAAATTGAGCTTTGCCTCAGACATGCACAGATATTGACCTCTTACTAAACAGTTGTTGACTCTGATTCTGATACATGGAAAAGGTAGCCAGAAGATAGGGAGGGAAGATACAGTGTGTTTTGCTTCAGTCGGTTCAGTTATTTTGGCTTAAGTGTCCTAATACAGATGTCTGGCACAGAAACCAGTCAAAATGTTAGTCAAAGTTAAAAACAAAGCCATTATGATGTGATGAGACATAGAGCCTTGTGTTCAAGCTCTTTGTGTAATTAAAAACACAGCTGGTCTCATCTTTCAGAAGAGAGGAGTGAAGATTTTGCTTGTTGGAATCCCACTGAAAATACAGTGTAAAATTCAGAGGCTTCATGGTTTTGTGTTCTCCCCACACACTCATGTTTTAAGGTAAATGATGATAAGCATAGTCACTAATGAGCATCAAGTAACTTTTATTTCTTCTATTTGGACAGACATACGAGGACTCTTTGGATAAAAGTGCTGATGAGGAAACAATTGAGAGAAAGGAATTGCCCTGTGTGGAGAAAGACAGTGGCCCAGCTGAGCAGTCTGTAAATGATAACCAAAGATGTGCTGTGACAGAGGAAGCAAGTGCTACAGAAGATAATAGCCAAGTGAATGAAGCACAGAGTGAAGTGAAAAGGTGTGCTGACCATGTCATTTTATGTCATGTTTGATACTGTAACAAGCAGATCTTTCTCACCTGTGAATTTAGGGCTACTCCACTAAATCAGTGTTACATAAATACAGTACTGAACAAAGAGTGTTAGGATTTACTTTGGAAATGGTATTAGACTGCATATCAGCACTGCATCATTCACAAGTAGCTGATTCATCCTTTAGCAGAGTCTTGAGATTTCACGTAAGCCGCATGGCTTTCTATTTTGCTGGAACCACTTAGATTGTGTGAAGAAAGAACAGTGACTTGAATGCAATTACTCTTTAATTTGAATATTCTTGTGTACTAATCTTGGTTTCTCTTTGTCAGCAGCAGTAAGCCTAAGGGTAAAAAAGCCAAGGATGCAAAAAAGTCTGCTAAGGGATCTTCAGAACACCAAACAGTGGTATGTTGAATTACTTACACTGTTTAAAAAAACAGAGTCATGTCATTACAAACAAAAAAAAGTTTGTTTTACCTCCAGTTGCCAAATTCTGTTCTGGTTTACTATTTACTTTTTAATAATAATGGGTTCTCTTTCTGTGATTTTATTAGTATTTTGGACATTGGAACATCAGCTCTTGTCTATGCAAAGAAGTGCAGGGCTAAATTTCAGGTCTAGGAGAGTGGCTAGAACTCAGTTATCAAAGCAGTTCAAACCAAAAAATGTAAACATCTGAAGATGGCTGCTCTCAGCAGGCAGGTGGGAGACAGTACTGTCTGCATCTTTCCAAATATTGGTTCTTCCCAGAAGAACAACTCTTGTAATAGCTACACCTAAGGCATAAATTCAGCATACCTCAAACTCAAAATACTATATTTATAGTCTTGTTTACTGACGTGAGATCAAAGTAATCTTTTTCATTAATTACTGTTGGTAAGCTTCTGCTGTATTCTTGTCTTTACTTGGCTCTCCTTAAAGTTTCACAAAGTTATGCTTTTAATATTCTATTTTAATTGCCAATCAGCAATAGGATATTAATTAGAGAAACAAACAATTTAGTCACATTTAATTCTTCTACGAGTAGCTAGGTAGAGCCAGTTGGTGTATTCTATTTATTACACAATGTATTTATTACACATCTTGCACAAATGTGAACAGTTTGTTTTCTTTCATCTTTCAGAATGAAGTTCCCATTCACTGTGTAACCTGCAACTGTACATTTCCATCCCGAAATAAACTGTTTGAACATCTAAAAGCAACAGGACATGCAAAAGCAACACAGGCACTGTCTGTAAATGGAGCTGTTCACACCAGAAGCAAAAAAGAGAAACGTAAAAACAGATAAAACTTTATTACACTGACAGTCTTTAGAATCAACGAGAAAATTCTCTAAAACATTGAAAAGTGTGCATTGCCTATTCTGAGGTAAAGTGGGAAGGCAATCCCAGGTTTTGGTGGAAGAAACAAAAAGGAAAAAAGAAAAAAAAGGAAGATTTGGAAGATGTAACAAGGAGAATGTTATCTCCTGGAGCAATTTTTGCTTTTGCTTGTTTTTACCATTTTTTCTTTACTGACTGAACTTGACCTACCCTTCTGACAGCTGTCTTGGTGAAGGGGCAGTGGTGATGCAGAGTTGCCTAGCATTTCTGTTGAAACTTGTGTGGATGGAGTAACTATGCAGAGGGAATACATTATTTTACCACATCACAGTTGTTTTCTTTACAGAGACAGAAAATTATTTGAGGCTAAGATTGGACTCTGCTATTTTGATCTTCCATCAAAAATGAAATACGAGCAGCACAAGTGGAGGAGTAACCATCCTCAGTGTCCTCTTCACATTAACCAGCGGACAAAAGGGGAAAGATGTCAGAGTTGGTTAATTACAGTTTGGACAGTCCCTGTTAGTTTTGTACGTGACCATGTGTGCTAAGGTGTTTGTACTGGGGAGGGAAATCCTGTGGATGAGCCTTCCTGGAATAAGTGTGGGAAGGAATGGATGATGGCTGAAGTGTCAGTATTAATGTGTATGAGTTGACTTGCACGTAGGGGTTCTGTCCCATGGTACATGCACACTTGATGCTGCCAATTGAGGAGAGAGTGGCAGGTGGTATGGATTGCTCTCCACATGTGTTTTGATTTCCTAATGAAAAACAAAATGGGAACTGGTATTATGTCTCTGTTTAAGTGTGTAATTAATTCATTCTGAATAACACTTAACAAAAAGAAAAGATGAACACCTGAGTTTGGAGTGCAAGTGAACAAAAGAGTTTTGCAAAACAAGCAGTCAGTGAAGTCAGAGAATCCAATGTTCATGGAGGACTTGGGGATATGGTATTTTTAGTATACTCCTAGCTTTTTCTGTATTTCTGTCATTGCATTTTCTAAATGCAATGCTCTTGCCTTACCTGAGTTGCTCCGGCATTTCAGCTTATCAAAAAAAAGGGTGGAAACAGAACTGTTATTAGATCAAGAAATTATTCAAACATTAAAACTTTCATCAAAGTAAAATGACAAATGTATAGTTCTTGCTAACAGACAACAATGCTACTTTTATTGGAGAGTGGAGAAGGTAACAAAAATTTTGTTTCAAAAGTGATTATGTTAGAAAAGTTGTACTTTGTTACACCTATCTTTGCTAAATAACCACAAATCAAAAAGCAGCAGGAAGAAAAGCAAAGAGTTGTTTTGTTTTGTTTTGTTTTGTTTTGTTTTTTTTTTTTTTTTGAGGGGATGATGACTGGATTTGACATTAAAAATAATTTCCATAATTAGAAACTTTCAATTTGTGTGCACAGATTTTTTAATGTTGTGATTACATTGTATCATTGTGATAAAGTTTTAGCTCTGTTTGAGACATGCAGTTACATTCTGCTCAGAATGCGTCCTAGCCCAAGAGTGACTTTGTGTGAAATCTCATGTTATGGGGTAAGACTTAAGCTGCAAAAAAACTTTTCAGTTGATTATTTTTGTTATTTAAATAAAATAAAACAATGATGAAATATTGGTTTTTACGTATGCTCATGCTTATTGGGTGTAAAAGGCACTGGTAGCTGCAGAGGTGATGCCGTGGAAGAGGTGGTCAGGGACTCCCCTGTATTGGTCACAGCTGGCTTTGCAGCAGTCCTACCACATGCCAGCGTTCAATCAAGCAAGAGTTTGTATTGCCTCTGCTGAAAATGTAGGTAAGAAATGGCAGCAAAGGAGACACAGGAACAAAGTAGGAACAAAGGAACAAATAATCTGTAACCTCACCCAAGGGGACTATAGCCTGCTAGAGAACTTCTGCTGGAGCGTAGAAAACCAGTGAGAGAAAAGCAGCAGTAGAAGTGTAAGGAACAAGGAGCAGCTGAAATAAACTATTGTGTTTTGACCATTCCCAACCTCTAGCATTGCCTGTTGCCTTGCTGAGGGCAACTGAAATGCCTGTATTTTGATAAAATGGGGTAGAGAGCATTCTTTTAAGTCTGGTTCTTTAACAGTAGTCTTATGATGCTGACAAGTATTTTATCTTTAGACTATGCTTCCTTTAGAGTCTGGACAGCAAGGCTCAGGTCTGATGCGCATCTCGTAAAGAAACAAGATTACTTTCCAGCTGCTTTTCCCGTGTGTTTCTCTAGTGCAGTATGAATTACTTCAACAGCAAAGTCAACATCCTTTTTAGTAATGCACATAGGGGGTTTAATTCTAAATGTCTGAAGAGAAAGAAAAAGAAAAGACAACCTTAAGATCATATGCAAAGAACACCTGTTCTAGCAGCCCATCTAGGTTAGCACCATCCCCTGCTAAACAATATAACCAAAACAATGAAAAATAATACAGAGCTGCAGTGCTGGGAGTGAGGCCTCTGAAAAACACACCCTGAAATGAGGCACTGACTGCTGCTTCTAATGCCCCCTCTGCTCCAGGGACAGATCAACTGTTTTCAAAAGAGAGCTGACTGGAGTAGATTGTTTCTGTTACTCTAGGTGGAGCCTGAACATCCACCCTTAGATGGATTTGTACTAAGAGCCAGATGAAACAAAATGGGCATTTTTTTCCTTTCTAGCAACTTTGCCATAGTGAAACAGAACTTACTGAGAATGGTAAGTCCCCTGCATTGTGTTAACCTGCTGTTATTTTTTTTTATATGAAAGGCTTTCCAGTAAGTTTTGAAGAGAATCACTAAAAGCAAACTTTCACTTAGATCAGCGTAGCTTGTTATCAGGATTGCATGTTGATCAGGGAGGGATATATTCACAGTGCAATTTAGTAAGAAATTAGGTTCTAATAGTCCAAATATTTGGTAGTATAATGTTTACAAAGTCATTTAACTTGAGTAAGAATCTTAAACTTTCTTTTTAAGTTATTCTGTCTATGTATTCTGTATGCAGACTATATGCAGAAAGCACATAACGGGCTTTCTTCCCCCACTTCAGCTGAGGCTGACTTCAGATAATGCTCCCAGGCAAAGAGCAATCCCATGAGCAGAATCAGATTTTACTACACTGAACTGCAGCATACAACCTGTCTTCTGGTTTGTGACTGGAAGCCTATGAGATGACAGAGGCAGTGCCCAGCTTCTTCTAGCCGTGTACCCATCTCATAGAAAAGCTGCTCTGAGGGTTTAACTGACTTACCATCCCAAAGTCTGTTACTAATCTGCATGCTCTAAGAAACTTGTGGCACAGAGCCATGAGTGCAGCATGACGTATGTTCAAGTGGCTGATGCCCATTTGGTTGCAATTCTCACTTCTGTGCTGTATTGCTGAATTTGCTGCTACGAGCTCTCTTTACATTTATTTTTTATATCAACATCCAGATAGAATATTATCAGCTCTCTAGAATGAAAGAACTAGCAAGAATAAACTTGTTTCTCTGTCACCAGATCAGGTTATAACTCCAACAGTAACAAATGCTTAGCAGACCTGAATATTGCTGTTTCCTCTAATTAACATATATTATACTATCCTGCTTCTCTAAGTTAAATTGTCCTTCCAAAGGAATACTGCAAGCTTGAAGGAAGTTCATCCCACTTTAAAAGGAAACAAACAGCTCCTGCCTGTTCTGCAAACCAAGAAAAATTAAGCAGGGAGAGCTTTTAAATATATATGTTTTCTAGTTCATTTACTAAACTAAAATTAATTTAACCAGAAGTTCGATACCTGATTGTAGAGTCCTCCTCTGCCGATCAGAACACCCATGTCTTTACAGTCCTCCCAGATTTGATTGATTTCTTCACATGGAAGAGGGTGGCGACTGTCCTATGGAATGTGAATAGTAAGCTTCACTAGGATATTCTAAATTAATTCCAGGAAAAAAATGTATTATTCCAGTTCTTCCAATAAATCCCATCGCTATCTCTGACCGAAAACATCAGCTGCATAAAGTAAAAGCCATGCTACAGGCTAGGGGAAGAGTAGCTGGAAAGCTGCCCAAAAGAAAAGGACCTGGAGACACCGGCTGACAGCCGGCTGAACACGAGAAACCCAATGACATGCTAATACAGGCAAGGATGTGATCGTCCCCCTGGACTTGGCACTTGGTGGCTGTACTCTGAATACTGTGATTAGTTTGGGGACCCTTACTATGAGAAAGACTTTGAGGAGCTGGAATGTGTCTACAGAAGTGCAGCAAAGCTGGTGAGGGGTCTGGAGCACAGGTTTTGTGGGGAGTGGCTGAGGGAATTGTGGTTATTTAGCTAACAGTGGTCAGGCAAGACTTCATTGCTGCCCAGAGTGACGTCAAAGGAGGTTGTAGCAAGGTGGGGGTTGGCCTCTCCTGAAAGGTGCATGATGGGACAAGAGAGAATGGCCTTAAGTTGCATGAGGGGAGGTTCAGGTTAGATAGCAGGAAAAAAAATTGTTATTCAAGGGAAGCATTGGAACAGGCTGCAGCACTGTCTCTGGAGGTATTTAAAAGCCGCGGATGTAGTGCTTAGGGATGTGGTTTAGTGGTAGACTTGGCAGTACTGGGATACCAGCTGGGCTTGACCTTAGGTCTTTTCAAACCTAACTAATTCTATGATAATTGATCTGCTTCCTATGATGAATTTATGTAACTGAAGTGCACAAGTCACTGTTTACTTAAAACTTGTGAAATACTTGAAATGCCAGAATGTTTTAGCTCAGTTTTAGCCAGTACAGTGTTTTTTCACTCCATCATTAGTATTTAAGATAAAATCTTCATATTATCACATTTCATCTCAGCTGAAATAAAACTTGCAATGGCACCTTAAGTCAGAAGGTATAAAGTAAATCACCAACCTTATCTTTCACCATTTCTACCCCAATCATGAGTCCCTTGCCACGGACATCTCCAACAATCTCAAACTTCTCCCGTAGTTTAGCAAGCTCTAGTAACATATATGTTCCCACATCCTTGCTATTTTTTTGAAGATTATCTTCTTCAATAGCCTGGTAAAAAAGACATACAATGACAAAGCCACAAGAAAAGCTTCCTTCATCGCTGGTTAATCTCCATTTGGATTGGTGACCTTATGTTTATTTCACTTTCTCTCACAGATTTGCACACTGTGTTCCTTCATTGCTACAGTACTGAAATTCCTCCTCTCATCCACTTTATCAGGTGGCATCAGGTTAAAACCGAACCTCTGTTCTTTTGCAAGTTTTATTTATTTCTCAACAATCATAATATTTTACTAATTCATGCTCACAAATAATCATAGCTGAAAAATACTTGGCCTCCATAATCTTGCCATAGATACCTTAACTCCTTCTCCAGCAATATGGAAAGAATAAAACTTGACATAATACACCTCTGTGTACGAGGCAGCATTTTAGTAAAGTCTGGGTGATTTAATTCTTTTAAATGCACTCCTTACTCTAAAAAGACCACTTTTAATCAAAGTTCTGACATGCTGCCAGCTATCAGCACTCACATGTGCAAATCATTTTATAAACTTAAAATCTGCTTTAAGAAAATTCATGAGTGAAAACAAAAAATACAATTTTAGAAGTTCACATGAGTGTTTTTCCCTCTTGTTTTCTTGCTTTTGTTTACTTTTTTTCTCCTGTCTCCTTTTCCTTCAATTGCATTTTATTTTTCCTAATTCTGACCATCTTCTTGCTCCAGATACAGGCTCTGACTTACTTAAAAGATGACATTACAGATGACTCGTATTCCTGCAAAAGGAATGGAATTTTGCGGTGGAGATAATGAAATTTTTTCCCCCTTCACACAGGGTACTATAGCTATGTATAAATAATGCTTGTGAATGTTGATAAATTCAATACAGCTGTAAAATTGCCGACATACAATTTTACAGTAAACAAATGCAAGCATTTCTTATCTATCTTTTGCTACAAAAAAAGCACAACACTCTCCTTACATCAAGAACTGCAGATCCCACTACGCAGGCCAAAGGATTTCCTCCAAAGGTATTGAAGTGAAGGTTTTGAGCCAAAGAATTTGCAATCTCTTAAAGAAAAAAATGTAATAATTAGTCTTACAGTTTCCTTACATTTGGTAACAACAGTTACCTACTTTAACTTAAAAATTTGCTGTGCTCCTATCCTGACTCTAAGTGAGTGAAATGATAGATTGTAATATATTGCAAACATTATAGAGATCAGATTGTAAAGACAGACTTAAAAAGGAAAACACAAAGCTAATATCACACTTAACAGTTAGTTGTTGCCTTAGGGCATCACCTACAAACGTTCCTTACCAGATTTATTCATATGAATCAAGTAGTCAGTTAACATGCTGCCTTACTTATTGTGCATTAATCATTAAAATGGTGCACTCAGAGAGGAGCTCCAGGATCTATTACCATCTCTATCC